GATTATATAACATTTATAAAAGAAAAAAAAAAATTTAATTGTAAAGAAAATCAATTCTCACTTCCACAAAATAATATAATTTAAAATAATAAAACCAAGTTCTTTTTTTATGCATTATACTATTTAATAATAATATTACATAATGTTAGCTAAAATAAATTATACAAAATAATTTAATTTTATCTATATTTTTTTTAACTTATCATTTCAAAGTAACCTAATTTTATATTAAATATAAAATAAAAATACAATTACAATAATGTGACAAATTATATACCGGCACATATTGATATTAAGTTCGTATATACATAAGAAATATTAACGAAAGAAGAAACGTGATGCTATTACGTGTATTGATTATATTAATGCGTGAGTCATATTTATGAGAAATTTAAATGCAACAAATGGCAAACACAACACTATTATTCAAAATACGTTTCCTGTCGTGGCTTAATGTACCGTTGTATCGAAATACTGCAATGGTGGATATAATAAGAAGGCAGAATGGAAATATCTTAGTAGTAAATTAGTTAATTATTTACTTTAAACCAATTTTCATACCTTTACTAGAACTTCTTTGTATATAAAGCGCCCACACTTGAGAATCACTTAAAAATTTTTTTATACACTCTCGGTTGTTCTTATCTTCGAGAGCGGTATTGAATGCGGGTGGTACCGCATCCTCATCAGGTAGAAGGATCGTTATAACTTTCTTTAAATAATTAGCAAAAGCTGAATATGACACAGCTATAACAATTTGAGACTCCGGGGACGGTTCCCCAGTGCCGTCCAAGGAGTCACCCATTTTACGTTAATCAATATCGCAAAATTTTTAAAAATCTTGAGCGGGTGATCAATCGATCCCCGCTCTAGGATGAACTGTCACACGAGTAATGACGGGTTATAGCAAGCATAGACTACAGCACAGAAGTACTTACAAACTGCAACGATTTTCTAGTAATAACGCCATTTTCTTACTCCCTATCTTACCAATCATTTTGTCCCGTTTTCATGTTACTTATACTAAATCGCAATTATATAATTTTGTATTATCTCTATATCTATATTATTCGTTATATTTCTAGTTTGAGAATAATTATTATTGTAAGATATTTTAAAAATGTATATCCTTAATTAATGACACTTCTTTCTAAATGTAATTATTATAAAAAATACAGTAATTTTTTCTATAAAAAATGTTCACATTTGTATAGTTGAAACGATGCTTTAAATATATTTTTATTAGTTAGTTGTATTAAGTATTATAGTATGCGCACGCGTGTGGATTATGAAGCAGGGAAAAAGTGGTTGGGAACAGCAAGTACAGACTTATTACGGTGATTTAAATAAAGACATTAATATAATAGAAATTAGTACAATAAATAGTTACACTTGCAAAGAATTCTATTTCCCTTAAAAATACGTAAAATACCATTAGCAACATATGTAATAATAGGTTTACTTATAATAAAAGACCATTCTAAACCGGCTCGTATCGTACAACTGTCTTGATCGATTTATATTACATTTATTCTATGATGGAAGCTTTGATACCTGTTATAAATAAATTACAAGATGTATTTAATACCGTTGGTGCCGATGCTATACAATTACCTCAAATCGTAGTACTTGGTACACAGGTCAGTTAATATTTTTTGAATAACAAAGAAAGAATTTGTGCTATTGTAACTACAGTTTAAGTTTAAATTTTTTTCCTTCTAAAAGCAAATGTTCATTTGAATAAACTGAAATTCATTAAATTAATTTATATTTTTATAAATAACAAATAATTTACATATAATTGTTAAAAAATTATATTGAATATAATGTTTTGTTTTTTAGAGTTCAGGAAAGTCATCTGTAATTGAAAGTGTGGTTGGTCGGTCTTTCTTACCAAGAGGTACTGGTATTGTTACTAGACGTCCTTTAATATTGCAACTTGTTTATACACCCAAAGATGATCGTGAACATCGAAATGCAGAAAGTGGAACATTACATCTAGATGAATGGGGCACATTTTTACATACAAAAAATAAAATCTATACAAATTTTGATGAAATTCGCAGTGAAATAGAACATGAAACAGAACGTATGGCTGGGCATAACAAAGGAATTTGCCCAGAACCAATTAATTTAAAAATATATTCAGCATCAGTTGTTAATCTAACTCTGATAGATCTTCCTGGTATTACAAAAGTACCAGTTGGTGATCAACCAGAGGATATTGAGAGTCAAATACGACAACTTGTATTAAAGTATATATGTAATCCTAATTCTATTATATTGGCTGTTGTTACTGCAAATACTGATATGGCAACAAGTGAAAGTTTAAAACTTAGTAAGGATGTAGATCCAGATGGAAGGCGTACACTAGCTGTTGTTACTAAATTAGATCTTATGGATGCTGGTAATTTTTATTATTATTATTATTATTAATTATATTCTTTTACAATATTCAGTTTATCAGAATGATTTGTAAACTCAATGTATCATATAGGAACTGATGCTATAGATATATTATGTGGAAGGGTCATACCTGTAAAGTTGGGTATCATTGGTGTAGTTAATCGTTCTCAACAAGATATATTAAATAACAAAAGTATTCAAGATGCATTGAAGGATGAAGCTACATTTCTGCAACGAAAATATCCCACTTTGGCAAACAGAAATGGAACTCCTTATTTAGCTAAAACTTTAAACCGCTTACTCATGCACCATATTCGAGACTGTCTTCCAGAATTGAAGGTAATATAAATTTTAAATAATAACAATCCATTGTATATAGGTAGAAAAAGATAAAGTAAACATAATTTGGTAGAACTTGTATTTTTTAAAAACAGACGAGAGTAAGTGTAATGGTTTCACAATTCCAAACCCTTCTTAATTCATATGGTGAGGATGTTAGTGATAAGAGTCAAACTTTACTTCAAATTATTACAAAATTTGCAAGCAGTTATTGTTCCACAATTGAAGGAACAGCTAGAAACATAGAAACAACAGAATTATGTGGTGGTGCTCGAATTTGTTATATATTTCATGAAACATTTGGAAGAACATTGTATTCTATATATCCGCTGGAAGGACTCACAAAAATGGATATTTTGACTGCTATTCGAAATGCAACTGGTCCAAGACCTGCTTTATTTATACCAGAGGTTTCTTTCGAATTATTAGTTAAACGTCAAATCCGAAGACTTGAAGAACCATCGCTGCGATGTGTGGAACTTGTACACGAGGAAATGCAAAGAATTATACAACACTGTGGTACTGAAGTACAACAAGAAATGTTGCGTTTTCCAAAATTGCACGAGCGTATTGTAGATGTTGTAACACAATTACTACGTCGACGTCTCCCACCCACTAATCAGATGGTTGAAAATTTAGTTGCTATAGAATTAGCATATATCAATACCAAACATCCAGATTTTCATAAAGATGCAGCTCTTGTATCATCTTTATTAAAGAATACTAATGTGGATCATGTACAACACAGCAGGAAAGTCCCTCCTACTACAAATACCACATCAAGTGCTATAATTTCAAATGACATGGTAAGTAATTATTAGTAATATTTACATATGTTTAAAAATATTTTGTATATGGTAATCGGTTATTTATTGAACCTTTATGAACAATGCAATTAATAATTTTATGTTTAATTGTAAGGTGTAATATTCTAAATGTCTCTTTCCTAATTCATTTGTTTAGTGTGTTGTGTAACTAAACACATATAACATTTCTAACAGAATGTAAAGTCAATTAATAACCAAGATGAAGTGGCATCTTTCCCTGAACAGAATAAGGATCACCAAGGACATCAAGCAATGTTGAGTAATTGGTTGTTAAATAATCTTAAACCTCAAGGAAGATCTGATTCGAGTAATTCGATGGATGGTTCTCCAATAAAAAGTCATGAAAGCAGTACTTCTCATCCAAATTCAAGCTCAATACCAATTATTGAAACACAGAAACCATCCCCGCAACAAAAAGCCGTAAATCTATTGCCTGAAATACCAGCGCAAACATCTCGTAAACTGAGCGAACGAGAACAAGGAGACTGTGATGTAATTGGTATGGATAGAAGTGTTACATACGTTTACAGAAAACAATGGTCTCCATTATTTATTTATCTTTATTTTTTCCAGAAAGATTAATAAAATCATACTTTTATATTGTACGAAAATCTATTCAGGATAGTGTACCAAAAGCTGTCATGCATTTCCTAGTTAACTATGTAAAAGATAACTTACAAAGCGAGTTGGTAACGCATTTGTATAAATCAGATCATGCCGAAATTCTTTTAAATGAAAGTGAACATGTTGCTGTTAGACGCAAAGAAGCAACAGATATGCTAAAGGTAGATCCACAGAAATAATACTTCACTTTATATAAACATCTAGAATGGTTTATCAATTTCTTTTTTTTTGTTATAGGCATTAACACAAGCTGGTCACATCATTAGTGAAATTCGAGAAACGCACATGTGGTAACTAAATTTATATATTCTTCACATGATCAGTTTATAGTTCAATTTAGACATTTTGGTGGTTTAATTACATTTTGGTGATAAACCAACGAATGAAAACTGTATATAATTTGTATTTTTCATGTAAGCAATGTTCACAATTATAACAATAATTTTTAAGGTTTATGCGTTTCCTTCCAGTTTCGGTTCATAGAGATAAAAAAATAAATTATCACACGTGCATTTATAGAAAACGTCGATATTAAACAATCAAAGTATTATCACATGTAACAATGGTGCTCTCGTCATAATTCTATTTCAAAATTCTTAGCAAAATTGTACACATATTTAATTTACATAAAAAATATCAATTTCTTTTATAGTTACAGAATGTACGAACAAATATAGACGATCGTGAATGTAGAATATTTTGTTTTTGAACATTTCTTGAAAAGAATATTTTTATGAAGTTATGTTTTGTAACATTTAGTACTGTATGCATATTATACACATATATTTAATTAATATTTGATTGTTATTGTGAAGTACAACCAAACTGATTGTAACATTGAATAATACATTGTTGTGTTTTGATAGTTTCCATGTTGGGTACAGTAAAAAACTTTTCAATAAATTGTATATGCTCAAGCAATTGAGGTAAAGCTTGTTGATAATAACCTTCATACATTTTAGAAATAGCATTCAATCTTTTTTCAACTGATTTTCGAAACTGATTTTTTAATTTCTTTATATCAATTCTCCTACCACAGTTGGAACATTGTTTGCCCAATACGTTTGGTGTATGTTGTTCATTTAATTCAATTATACCAATAATGTTTGAACATGTTTTGCACTTATAATTCATTTTTTCGAGTAGCGGATATTCCCAATTATGTGTACAAGCTTCACATGAACATAGAAAACGATACTTTTTCCATAAATATTCGAGCCTTGATAACTTCTTTTCGCTAAGCCAGTGTGGGCCATAACAATCGAGTATTTCGGTACCCTTACCGACAAAACGTAAGGTTCTTATTACAACTATTCCTATTGAAAATTATTCATATTTATTTAGAATATGTAAAGTATGTGGAATTATTTATTAAAAGCATCTTTTTTTACCTGATGGATAAGAATGACGAACAATATTTGGATAACAACTATGATTTATAAGGCTAACTGAAGGATAAATTGCTCCACCTACATTTCTTGGTACCCAAACATGCGTTTGTTTATCATATATGTTTTCTACAATCTCATAAGCATTGCAGTTAATAGCCTGCAAATGATGCAATATTGCTACACTCAAGGAGATGAAATACTCTTTTGAGCAAACGATATTTCTTTTACTCAAGACAAAAGTAAAGCACTTTGCTAAAAATATAGCTTCAATAGCACGATTAAGATTTATGCTAGGTTCCATCTTCGTACAATGAGTTTCTAAATTTAATATAGTACGATAATCATGAGGATTATAAACTTCATTTGTTCCTAAGTCATTATGTTCTTTAATTGTGGTTGTAACATAATGTTGGAGGAAATTATCATTTAGAAAAGGAATATTGTTTTTTTCCATATTATTGTTAATTTGTTCATTGTTTGAAGATAAAAATCCTGAAATTATCATTCTATAAGCTAGCAATAAATGTGAAGTATGTTGCATTTGTTCAAAATGACTTCCATAGAAAGCATCAAATATGAAACATTCGTATTGATGATATGCTTCCCATGCTTCTCTGCGACATTTTTCTGAACAGAAAGATACCTGTAGAAGTACAAACTTATTCATGTTTTAAGAATAATATATTAAGGGCATATTAATAGTATAAAAAAGCACGAAAAAATAAACACGAACATAAATACTAAGCAATAAAAACGAACTAAAATTATTTATGCTACTAACTGTTTGGCAAAAATGGCAAGGGATTTTAACACTGTTGCTCAATTTAAGCGTAATATGACAATGTAAACAATTTCTATCAAGTGCTTCTCTATTTGTACTGAAAGCAAATGGTGCTTCAATGACCAGAACAGATCCTGCTTTAATGTTTCTGGTAGCTATAAGATGTCGACCACGCTTCTCATCAAATTGTAAAGTAATAGCATCAGAACAACTTTTAAGAATAGTATGTTGTTTCCCATCAAGAGTAGGTATTGTTGATGCATAACTCAATAATGCGTCTCCAAAAGGAACATTATGACTCCCGCTGTATTTCTTACGCACATTTCTATCCCGAGAAGATGATACTTTCAAATTTTTATAGCATTCACGCTCTAATTGAACACATGCTTTTCTACGTTCCAAAAAATCGTTCATACTTTCAGCAGTTTTATCGTAAAGGCTTTCAGGAAGTGCAAGCATGCATTCACAATATTTTAGGCATTTTACGAAAGCTTTCGAATTATAATAGGTCTGTGCGCAATCTAAAAGCGCATCCAGAAATAATCTACTAGTTACACTGGCCTTAAACAGTGTTTCAATAAGAATATTGCTCTTAATTGTCTCTTCGTGCATAATTCCATCCTTAGCTATTATTTCGCGATTTTTCCTGTAAAGTTCTGTTGCTTTAATATTATCCTTACCCCTGTACGATTCAACAATTTTTATGTTTTCAATATATGGTATCTGTATCAGAGTTTTTATCATTCCTTCCCTATCTCCTTTTTCAGACAATATTTTAAAACGATTTGCGTATGGTTCTACAATTGCAGCATTGTAAGCAATTTTGAAGAATTCACTAAAATTGACATACCTATAACAAATTTTAGTCATATACATACAATAATAAAATTAATTTATCGATATATTGCATAATTTGAACAAATATGCGTATAGTACATTTAGGCTTCTAAATATATCAATGCAAGTTAATCCAGACTGAAATAGTTTGAGTTATAAATTTTGATTTTCAATTAAAATTGTTGTGATATTGTCTTTTACGATATTTTATCATATAAGTTAAAACTTTTTACTCACTTAAACATTCATAGAATTAATTACATATCGTTTTCAAAACAAATATTTATAGTTTTCAAAACAGGGTAAGAAGAATTGTTAACTTACCCTTTTGTAAAAGACATGATTTTGTAAAATATTGATAAACTGTATAATTATCATTACATTAATACTCGCACGTTTATTACAAATACAAGACAAAACGAATAAACTATGACGAATTCTAAAATTAGATGTTAGATTTCGTGGTGGGACATGTTCATGATATCTATCGTATTTTAAATACAAAGCTATTAAATAATGATAAATGAGTTAAATAACATCGTATCTTTTATTGTATTATTTGTAATGTATTACTAATATATTACAAATTTTTAATATCTATCACAATATCAATATCAATACTGCAGTGAACATAATTAAACTTGTAAAAATTTACGAAAAAGAACATCATACATGCACTTTAATATTTCTAATGATTTATAAAAATAAAAGTATATACTTGTAAAATATTTTAAATAATTATAAATATCATCAATTTCAACACAGTTGGATATTAAATTTTAAACTCTGATTTTAATACCACTTTCTTACAGTTGATGTCACTAGTGTAGATAACCATTAAGAGTACTAAACGTCACATGATAAAAACGGGTGTGAGCGCTATTCTCTTAATTTGTTCATGAAATGTTCTTATTTTAAATACTTCCGAGACTACTTTGTTAACTTATATCTTAAAGTTAACATCAATCATTTGTTAGGATTTCTTTATTTCCCTTAAGAATTACACATAACGACGAAATTAAAAGTAATACAATGAGATACATCCTAGGCACGACTTTTGCGGGCACTGCTTCTGCAACTATTCTAGTATTAGGTATTATCTGGTTTTTATTTATTTTTTGAATAAAATCAAATACTATAAAAATATTTAAAGGAAAAGCATATTAACTATAAATATTATAAACTTGAAATTGATTATATGCTTTTCTATTTTTATAAAATCTATATTTTTAAAATACTATTTTGTTGCAGTATTATATCATTTATTTACTGGAAAAGGAGAACGTGTTAGTATTGCATGGTAAGTAAGCATGTTTAAGTCATACATTGCTTTTTATTTAAAGTTATAAAGATATGCATATACAAAAGTACATTGTTATAAGAAAATATCATTAGGTTCCTAGAAAATACATCACCATACATGTGGGCAACTCTCGGTATTGGACTTGCAGTTGCTTTATCTGTGGTTGGTGCTGCATTGTAAGTTTTGTTTTATAAATAACTTTTTATTGTACTTTCATATGTATTTAAAATAACATACTAAATTTACTGTTTCAGAGGGATTCATACAACAGGAGTTTCAATTGTTGGAGGTGGTGTAAAAGCTCCAAGAATTAAAACAAAGAACTTAATTTCTGTAATATTTTGTGAAGCTGTAGCTATTTATGGTTTAATCACTGCCATTGTATTATCTGGAATGTTAGAAGAATTTTCAGCTGAATCTGTCACAAAGGAAGAAATTCGTAATCAAAATTGGTTTGCTGGTTACTTAATGTTTGGAGCTGGCTTAGCTGTTGGTCTCGTAAATCTATTTTGTGGTATAGCTGTTGGTATTGTTGGTTCTGGTGCAGCCCTGTCTGATGCAGCTAATTCTGCTCTTTTTGTTAAGATTCTTATTGTAGAAATCTTTGGTTCTGCTATTGGACTCTTTGGGTTAATTGTTGGAATTTATATGGTAAGTTCCTTATTAAAAATGTTAATTTTCAAAATACTAATTCATATTTTTACAGACATCTAAAGTAAAAATGGGGAGTAAATTATAATTATAGAGAAAACAGTAATGTTATAAAATATTTTTTGGAATTACAATGTTTCATTCCATGTTTAGTAATGATTGAAAAGAAAATGATTATGGGAAAACAATATAGAATAATTTTTCTGTTCAAATCAATATGGAAGAACTTTTTTATTATATAAGGTTGGTATTTTTTTTTTTGGTACAAATGTAAATTTATTATAAATAGATTTTAATTTGTATGATTATTACAATTTAATAACTTGAATATTGTATATCAACCATGTGCATAAGTAACTATTTCTAGTAGTATGAACACAGTCGTTTTGTTTAGAGTGCTTAGAGTGCGTTATAGCGCTCTTCCTCTTTTAAGTGTATCTACTGTATATATCTATTTTGATTGAAATATTATATTAAATAAATATAATGCTATCACTCATATCGTATGATGTAATACTTACTCATATATGTGTTGCATATTTGTATAATATATCTATGTATTGTATTATTTATGAATTGACTTCTTTTTATTAGACAGAATAAAAAAGCAGGTCTTTATTCATTTAACAATAACATAATTTCTGGATTAGTATCATATATAGGTGTAAGAATTATAAGTATAATCAACAGTATTAGAAATTCTTGTTATCCTTGATATAATAGAAACTGGATAATGATTGCATATATATAATAGTGTCATTTTCCATAATTCATTACACAGTGAATATTTTTAAATGCCTCTTCCAAACACTTTATATATTCGTCTGTATTGCAATTACTTTTATAACTTGTCACAACAGCTCCCAATCTTTCATCTTGTATCATATATCTAAATGTCAAAATGATTATTGTAAACAATATTCAAAAGTTACTGTATATGTTATTAAATTGCGAACAACGTATTTGTAAAAGTAATAAACAAAAAATTTATCTTACCCGATTCCATATCCATTTTTTATTACTGGTCCAAAACCTCCAGCAAATATAGCTGGATCTGAAAGAGTTGATGTAGATAAAATATTATTATTTATATTATCATATGCTGAATCCTCAAAAATGGCTGGTTTCATAATATTTGAATGTTCCCAAACTTTTTTTAGTGCAAACAAATGTCTATCAAACCCTTGTCCTGTAAGAAAATTATATAAATAAATATTAGATTTCATGTCGTAATTTTTTTTAGTAATGTTTATTAATATAATATTTGATAATGTTTGGTAATTACCCATAACAGCTTCTTTAGATAGTATATTATGAATTTTACTGCAATTAATTATTAAATTTTTTATTTCAGATTTAGATAAATTGCTATTTTTCTGAGCCATAGCTTCACATGTTTTTTTTGTTTCCATTGTGCATGATCTAAGAGTTTCAGTTCGACCATGTTTAAATGCAGCTGTACTACAAGATTCATATGTTGGCACAACACAGTTTATTTGATAAAATAAAGCTAACTGAAAAGCTAACTGCATAATTGCATCAGGGCTTACACCAAATCTTTTACATTCATTTTTACCAAATTTATTAAATATTATATGACCAACACTTAGGTCATTAATCCATATTTTAAATTCCTCTTTCTGCTTATTCACAATATTTTGTATTTTATTATCTATAATAAAATTTAATTTCTTGACTTCTAATGCCCCTTTCTTAAGATGTTTGATATCATCAGCGCAAAATGTTGGCTGTTTTGTTATATCATATTTTATGTCCTTAAAATGAATGCAATAAAACATTACAATTAAACATTATATTTTTAATTTATTTTTAATTATTTACCTTAAGGAATCTTAATACAGCTACTCCATCTCCCCAGGAATGTTCAAAATTTATCCCAGCATATCCATCATGTGTAATAATTAGAGAAAATGATTTGTCAAACCATCTGTTTGTTCCATCAGCATGAAGATATGTTGCAATTAACTTATTGTAGTCAGTCCCAACATGCACATCATCTAATATTACCATAAATAGAGCAGAATCTATTTTGTGTAAAATTTCTTGGTTACCAATTTGTGACAAATGTGTTCTTGTATTAGCCCATAAATCACGGTTTAATGTTGTAAGTATTCCAATGGGACATTCATTAGTTGATATAGTATCTTCTAAAATAGATTTTAAACAACTGGCTATTGCATTTGGTTTACAAATATAACCATTTTTATCCATTGCTTCAAAAGAATAAAAATGTCCCTTTCTCATAACAATAATGTGACTTCCAGTTGTATTTTCATAAATTTCATCTTTTTCTGGTTTTGGCAACCTTGTTGTATTAAATAAGTTATGATATTGTGACATATCTAATGGAAAAGCCTAAAATCATAATTTCTTATCTGAAATACAAAAACAATTATACTTTTCATAATGTTTTGTATTTATGTAAAAATTATTAGTTTACCTTAAATAAATAAGCTCCATACCAACTAAATTGAGGTGGTAGAAATCTTGTAACAGCATGAAATACATCATTATGAGCTGTTTCAGGTTTTAAATAAAATATTTCTGGCCGTAAGACATTATCTTTTAATGACTTCATAAACCTTAGTGATGATACAGTAAGATTTGTTGCTTTTACTAATTGTATATCATATTCTGAATTTAAAGAAGGCTCAAGTACTAAGAAGGGATTGTAGTTGATAGGTAAAGGTTTACGATCTCGTAAATACATATCAAACCAAGGTTCACTAATATAACTAGTATCACGATTTTTAGCATCTTTTTCAATTAGTTCCTTATGTAATCTGATACCATCCGTGGTCAAAAAGTCATTAACATAAACCATTGTCTTTTCTAACTGTTGTTTAGATAACAATGGTTTTTGCGCATTTAGATACCTTCTACAAGTATCCTTCAATTTTGGAATAGGTAAACGTGGTAAAGATGGTTGGAAATGCATTGTTGGAGTTTTACTTCGTTCAATATATTGATATACCTCATCTCCTTTAACAGTTACATTTCTATAATAAAAGAAACATTTGAAAAAATTGAACTGAAAAAGTTAAATAATTTATTCATGTTGAAACATTAGACTATTTATTTATAATATTTATAATATTTCAAATATCAAAATGTTATTTACCTTGATATTTGCAATAATAATTATACTTTACCCTGATTAATCTAAAATATAAATTTATTATTATAATTATATAAAATATTATTATTTAATTACATGTTAAATGTATAAAGATTTCGAATTTCTTACCAGTTTTTTTTTAAAGTAGTTACATTTTAGTACAAAAGATTGCATATTGTATATAATTTTAATTAGTTTGTATTAT